CAGCTCTTTCTGAGGGATTCGATTTCTCATGCGGTACCTTTTGCAGGATACTTTGCCAGTTCGCAAGCTTACAGAGCAACTTGTCGCGACTGGTTCTCACCAAAGCTGACCAGGAGCCTATTTGAAAGGCATGTCTCGTAGCTACTGCTACAATGAGATTGACGATTTCGATACGTTCAACTAAACAAGGGATGTGTATGTTGCCGCACTCAGATTCGTTGGAATTGACACCTGAATAATTTGAGTCAAGACATTGTGCTTTCATTTTGGTGATGTTCGTAAAACTTACTTGCAGCACTGCGCTAAGCGTACCTCTACGATGAAAAGTCGTCTTTCGAAGTCTTGCTCATCGGACGTTACGGGTAAGAAGTTCCAGTTGAATAATGGACCGTTTCGTGCTCGAGTATCAGATGTTCTTTGAGTTTGTCTTGCTGTCCGATGTTTGACCAAATGCTCAAATACTTCGGCAACCCGTGCGATCCGGAAAGCCCTGGCGTTTGAACCTAGAATTCGGCATCCCACTTTTGAACATGCGAAGCTAACCTTCATCACAACTGACGTGGATCTGAGGCCTAGACGCGGCCACTCGGACCTTCGGACTTTCTTAGATTCTAGCCTTGAGCCATGACGTGTGATCAAATTTACTGCAAAGACTGTACCTAGATATAACAAAAATGGTCTGTCTTCGCTATATACTTAGGTTAATTAGTCCTTACGTTTACCTAAATGTCAGTCGCCGACCATAAAGTAATTAAAAGCACATCGTATGATCTTTCCCCGCATCAAAGTCACAGTTCAAGTCAACATTCAATATGTGGTCTCGAACTAGAGAAGGCTGCTCTTGGGACTTTCAGCGTAACGTTGTCAACACAGGCCTCCCCACTGCAGCCGTCAAGCCCGACACTAATGACGTTCCCCAATTTCACGATGTCATCGTCGTCGGTGCTGGCTTCGCAGGCTTAACAGCCGCCAGAGATTTGTCGTTACAAGGCCTGAGCGTACTCCTTCTCGAAGCTCGGGATCGCACCGGCGGCCGTACACGGACTGCAAAAGGGAAGAACGATGATTACGAAATGGGCGGCGGCTGGGTCCACCACCTGCAACCTCATGTGTGGAGTGAGATGAGTCGGTATGGTCTCACGGCGACCGAGAAGAGTTCTGGCATGGAGCAGGACAGCCCATTGAATATCGATGGCAACCTCCAAAGCATGCAGGAGGCGGGCGCGTCCTTTGCCCCTCTCGCAGCTGCTTTCTTCGACGTCGACGGCCATGGCGGGCGAATTGTTATGCCTCAGCCGACTCGGCCTCTCCTCAACCACGAAGCAATCGCCGTGTGGGATATCAGCGCCGAAGAGCGTGTAAACCAGATGGATGTCACGGAGCAAGAGAGAAGGCTACTCAGAATATGGATGGCAATCTCAGGCCTGATTGAGGTATCTCAGGTTGGGTTCCTAAGTCTGCTACGGCTTTATGCACTCTCTGGGTACAACTTCCAGCAATATCTTGAGATCAACGGAACCTTCAAGATTCCCGGAGGAACCACAGCGCTAGCCGAAATGATTTTCGCCGAGTTCAAGGGCGCGTCGTTGTTCAACCGCCATATCACGTCTATCTCCTCGAGTACAACCAGTGCAACAGTTCAGGTCAAGGGCGGAGAAGAGTTCTCTGCCAACCATGTCATCTGCACCGTCCCAGTACACTGCCTCGCCGATATCGAATTCCTACCTGCCCTGCCTCCTTCGGTAACCTCCATCAAACACAATAATCTTGGAGGAAGCTTCATGTGCATTCACCAAATGGCGCGGCTAAATTCTTTGGCGTTACTACTCCTTCCAAAAATGCCTGCTTTGGCTTTACTGAGTCTGCTTCCAAAACTGGGGGCGTCAACATAGTTGCCTTCAAGAGCGCCCATCTCGAAGCACCCAGTCGGCCACCATTGACGATCCTGGATGACGCCCTCGATGACTTGAAGCCCAGTCGGTGGAATTGGGCAATATCAATGAGTATCTCTGGCATGATTGGCGGAACGACCAGTTCTCCAAAGGAGCTTGGCCCGTCTACCCTGCCAAGGTCCTATCGGAAACCCTTGGTAGTCTCATGGAGAACAGAAGAGTGTCTAGAAGGCTTACGCTTGCTGGGTCGGATTGGGCCGAAGGCTGGGTTGGTTACATCGATGGGGCCATTGAGCAGGGGCGTCGCGCTGCGTTCGCTGTCGCTGACGAATTGGGCTCTCAGCGATGAGGAACAGTCTTACACCACATGAATGGTCGCGGAGAGTGATGGTTCCGACAATCGCTCACCCAAAAGACGTATAGCTCCATTTTTACATTCTTGCACAACTGGTGAGATCCAGACGTTGTTACATTAGCGTGATGGGTGGCAATAGGAGGCATTCAACAGGAACTGCTGTCTAAAGGTATGAAGCCGGGAGTCGGTAGCTGATACCCCCGACCACGGAAAACGGCGTACGTCTGTTGCCGCGCTACCAGTGCGTTCTGAAGCTCAGGCATTTGGAACTCCGGACTACGAGACAGCATCCTCCACAATCACTGAAGATCATAGATCCAGAGCGGATATCCCACCGGCCTGAACATTCTGATCTGTAGCCACTTTGCAGGTTACAGGCCGGTGTTCAGTAGCTACATTATCACCGTTGTCTTTACGAAAGCCGGTATTTGTGGGCGCAAATAAATAACCATTGCATCTCACTACTACTACTCAATCTTTGGAGACGAACCAAGTGACATGCTCTTGCCAGAACTCGACAATACCTTTGGACAAAAGCTTCAAGATGACCATCGGCATAAGATTCTCCAGACAGGGACCATACGAATACGCCCTTCCCATCGCCATCAGCCTGCAAGAAAAGCTGTACTTCTACGTCGTCTATCAGTCTTTCTTGACAGATCCTGGACACCGCCACTGCTAATCGACACGTACCTAATCGATCATCCTGAGGGACACATCCTATTCGACTCTGGTGAGTCTCCGAACAGTATGGGACGGGGATACTTTCCGTTCTGAATGCCCTTTTTTCACTGCGCTGTCGATATCAATGCCGGAAAGGACGAGGGCATCTGCTCTCTTCTCGAGCAGGAGAACTTTGCTGCCACCGACCTCAAGGCAGTCGTATTATCTCATCTTCACCATGATCACGGCGACGGGCTACCAGACCTTGTTGGAGCACCAGTCTGGGTCACTGAAGAACATTGACAGGCATACAAAAAGCCATTCCACGCTACAATTGAAGGGGCTGTTCCAAACCAATGGCCAGAAACTTTCAAACCTCTACTTCTTCAGCCAACCGGTGGCCCCACTGGACCATGGAACCTGAGCTATCCGATAACCAATGATGGGAAAGTGGTGGCTGTTGACACACCCGGTCATGTGCCAGGACATGTATCGGTGATTGTATACGCCGATGACGTTACGTATCTCCTGCTTGGAGATGCTACATATGATCAAGATCTACTTGACAAGGAGCTCACGGATGGTGTCAACAATAATCCAGCGCTGGCAATCGATTCTCTGAGGAAAGTCAAAGAGTTTGCAAATAGCGAAAAGATTGTGCTCCTCCCTGCTCACGACCCACAGGCAGCTCACCGCTTGGCGGAGAGGACCATCTATACACCTAGCATGGTTCAAAGTTCGACGGAGGACACGTATCTGGACGCTGCTTTTGGACTATTTCTGGCGCTTTTTGGAGCTCTTGTGTTTATGTGGCTGAAGTTAAGGCAAAGGTATTAGTGGCAGGTTACCTTAAGGCATTCTCATTCCGAACTCGTCGGGTAAGTCGTGACTTCTTGATGTCAAATACCGTGCAACGGTTAATTTCCAAGTTATGGTGTCTATGATAGCTTACTTGAACCTGTAGTGGTTGTTGAGTTGAAGTGGGGCCGGCTTGATGCCGAACATGACGGCATGATGCCGATGATGAAGTTCCCCTTTTCTCTCTGCCAAGAATTGGCGTACCCATTTTCTGTGGACAATACTCTAGATTGAAAGAAACTCGAATTAAGGTGCTCATCCCGTATTTATCCCTCATAGACTTCTAAGCTTCTTGAATAAAGTGTCCAGTGAGCCAACAAACCCCCACGTCCGGACTACTCCGTCGTGGGGCACCGCGAGGGTATCCCTGTTAAGCATGGCTGACACCCTGATCATGTCGCCATCTGATTCTGCGGTAGCGAGCTCTGACTTATTTCCGAAAGCAGCAGGCGCTCGCTCCCGTATGGACGATTCGGCGACCGAGACAACCGATCTCAAATAACAGTTGCACATCAGGAATGACAGTTGGTTTACTACTGTCAAGATAACTTCAGTCATATCTGAATATGTCGAGGTCTTGCAGGCCGCCAGATCACGTTTCCTATGCCACGGCCAAGTCCAGTCTTAGTGCCTGATTGCTAGCCCAATATCAGATATCATCATGGCCTTGCTGATCATCGTCTTCCTTACGATCTGAGACGGTAGGTTGAATGGCAATAAACGACCCACCTGAAATCATTGCCGGGACTTATCAGGTACCAATCTTGATGTTAATTTCCAATAGAAAGCTCTCCTAGGTGTGCACGTGGATCAGTCGTACTTCATTCAGGTCGTTTCCTCCGAACTCCCAAATCTAGCTAGGTTCATGTTGGTAAATCCATCCCCGGCCATGCAGCATCAACCTTCCCACTGGGAAACGTGAGCATCCAACAAGCTTATCAGATTGGTCTGCGAAGGATTGCCAAGGAACATCGTGATACTTTACAATTTGGATGAGATCCTTGGCCATCGTCAAGCCAGACAGCTAACCAGGAAAGAAGCAAGAGACGTCGGGATAGCTCCTTCTCGGCCTCAATGACTACAGCATATTTAGGTACGGTCTAAAGCCTGGCGAGTCTGAGACTCAATCTATAAAGCTATAGAACATCGTCAAACGTTCTGGTGAAATTGTGTTTCCGAGCATTCAGCTACCAGCAACTACCACACTCATTGAACGCTGCACTCGTTTCAATATGCGATCCTTCACTCTTTTGTCGTTTTTCAGCGCCGCTCTCGCAGCTCGCCCCTTCCTCAATGAACCCGACACTGGAATCGAGGAAATCTTTGGTGATCTCCCAGCTGGCGAGTTGCCCCCCCTAGACCGACTCGTCGGCTTGCCGGACTTCGACTGGGCAGCCCGCCACTACCTCAACGCGTCAAGTTACACATTCTATCGCAATGGCGCAGTAGGCGAGTTCTCCTACCGCAACAACCTTGAAGGCTTCCATCGCCTCCGCTTTCGTCCCCGCGTTATGGTCGACATCACCAAGGTCGAGTCGACGATGCCTACAACCATCCTCGGTCACAATTTCTCTGCCCCTTTCTACATCAGCCCCTGTGGCCGTGGTGGTTTAGGACATGCTGACGGCGAACTCGGTCTCGTCGGTGGTGCCGGACAGGAAGGCATTCTCTACATCCCGGCCCTCTGGACTACACGCTCCGGCGAAGACATTGCCAACGCCCAGAGTCGATGGACAGGTGACCTTCCAACAAGTCTACCTCGACCACAACGACACCGCAACCTACGAGATTTTTGATCGCGCCAAGGCTCTGGGCCACAAAGCCCTCGTCTTCACGGTGGACTCGGTCGCGGACGGCAACCGCCACAGAGCAGCCCGGTACGGCGTTGGCTCCGCTGATACCGCTCTTACCTTACCTTCAACACCTGGGAATACTACAAGCATTTGCAGTCCATGACCGACCTGCCTATTATCATCAAAGGCGTCGGCACCGTCGAAGATGCTAAGCAAGCTATGGAACACGGAGCACCCGGTATTATCCTTTCAAACCACGGCTCCTGCCAACTCAACAGCTCACCGTCAGGCTTGGAAGTGGCGCTGGAAATACATGAAGAGGCCCCGGAAATTTTCACGCAGACTGAGATATTTGCTGACGGCGGTGTGCGGTACTGCGCTTGGTGTCAAAGCCGTCGGCTTGGGTCGCCCATCCATGTTTGCGAATACGTATGGTGCTGAGGGTGTGGCGAGGGCTGCGCAGCTTCTGAAGCATGAGATTGCGATTGATGCTGCGAACCTTGGGGTTGCGGATCTGAAGTAGATCAACTCATCTTTTGTAAGTCATCTTCTTTATTCCACTTGATTTGCAGGCTGCTCACTGTTTCTATAGGTGAAGCTCCAATACAACGGCTGGTACAGCTGAGCGCTTGAATGGAAATGAAAGGGCTTGAAAGCTCGATATTCAGCTGTAATTCGGATATCACGAAACCATTCTTACCATTAGGTTGGTGATAGAATTATGTCACTCCGGCAAAGTACTTCTTTCTTCCAAGTAATGCCAAATTTACTTTGTATTCGAATAGACATAAAAATAAATCTCTCGAATGATCCAAAAGTCATCATTGTAGGGTACCTCGGTGAAATATTAACCAAACTTGGAAAGTTATTCCATGTTTTGTCTTACATTAATTGTCATCTTAGTGGAAGAAGGTAAGGAATGATCACAATAACAAACGGCTTGTATAGAATGACGTCTGCTTTAAGAATTCTTGTTGCAGAAGTTCGATCAGTTCCGGCCAGTCGGGGCCAACCAATTTCACCGGCACGCAATAATATGCTATTTTCGACCTTGACGTGCCCTGGGATGATGGCCGTTCTGAGTTTCAAGGCACATCCGCCTCTGCTGACAATCAACAAAGAGCCATCATTGTCAGTATTGAGACATTTCGGCAGAGGTGGAAGTTCGGGTGAATCATGCCTGTTTGGGTACATCATTCCCAGATTGCCTCTAGTAGGCGGCTCGTGGCGGCCGCCACGAGTCGTAACTCATGAGAAACACTAAAGCTAGGAACGCCTCCTAAGGGAACTGAAACCTTGGCTCTAAATTATACATTGGAATACAAAAGAACGAGATTGAGAATTTTGAAGATCACTTCAAACTAAATTTATCGACATCTGATACCTTGCGACGTTGTAATTCCAAACCGTGGCGGTCAGCCCTAGCTGAGTGTCTGATGTAGAGATTTTCCAGGAGATCGAACACGCAGTTATTGACGTCTCAAAGCGCTGCATGCGATCTTGTGCGCTTAGTAAGGCAATTGACAGTAATGTCAGTTCATCTTCTGACTTCTCTGGCAATCTTTTTGACAAACAATTAGTATACATTCCCCCTCTCGTACCGAAATCCCATCTGTTCAGCTTCTCATCCTCCCGCCAACAGTGATTGATTATTACTGTCACTTTTTCCTTGACGTGCCATCACCTTCTTAATATGAAATACCCGGCTTTTCTTCTCGCTCTGGTCGCCGCTACCGAGGCCGCTCACTGTAATGCTGGATGGGACAAGCCCGAAGGAGCCTTTTGCTCTCTTAACCAAGTAAGTTTACCCACCATGGCACAATAAAAGTTGTACAGCCAGCTAACAATGTCTAGCCCAATACCTACTGTAAGGGAGCACCTTCGCTATCTCGAAGAGTGTTATTAATATCAGATGTACAGTGTGAAGAACCCGGTAACAAAACCGAAACCTTCCCGACGCGCAGAGTGTGCCACAGTCCGTATAATGGCGAAGAGTCCATTATTGTCAAATGCCTGGGTAGCGGTGTAAGTATCTGGTACCTAAGAAAGTACTTCAAATCACCCACATTCATATTTGGGAATAGATTGTGCTCTGCGTAAGTTATGCCTCGTCAAAAGTCAGTGCTATTCTCATATTTACCGTAGTGCCCGTGATGGATAATTGACCGAAGAACTTTGACCAACTGTATTTCATGGTCGTAAAAATTGAAGGCATTTCGACGAGTGTTTGGCACCTAGTGATGGAAGGTGGCAAACAGGTGGCGCAGGTGTTCAGTATGTTCTAGCCTTTTGATTTATCGGAACATCGCAATAGCATAAGCATGTTCATTCCAAGAAGCATTGTATTTTGCATTGTAGTTCAGCTGAAACCATGCAGAAAACTGTTCCCAAAGTCAATTGGTGAACGGCTTTGGAAGTCTGACCTTGGACGAGAATCAAGTCATGCCGTACGCATTTACTGAACAGTGCATTGTTCCAGCGATGAGCGCGCTTCTGGTCTGACTGGGTCCCCAGAGCTTCTTGATGAACACTCGATAGCCCGCTACTGAGTCCATTTCTATCGTTCTAATAAACCTACAATAGCCATTCCTGCCGTCGAAGGCACGGAGGAAGATGAAGATGAACGCCAGCTATGTCTGGAGCAGGCACTCGTACAGCAGTGGCATCAAAGATTGTTCATGTCGAGTCCGTAAAATTCTGCATAGCCTTACATCAACCGGATTGGATGATCTCATATGGGTGACGACACGACGTCGACAGTCCACACTAGAGAACTACCAAGTGTCGTTGTAGCCCTTGAAACAGCTGAGACAAACAAGCAGAACGCACATCACAGGAACGAAGCTTTTATCTACACTAAGAATCAAGTCGCGATCGAATCGTCAACCTATCCAAGCATCAACTATATGTATTGTATTATGAGATGAAAAAGTATATTTGAGCAGTCCGGAACTCCCAATTGTGTCTTGGCAATGATGACCATGTTGCGTTATCGTCATGCTTGAATCGTGAATTGTGCTCTCCTGTTCATTCGGCTCTGACCTTGGGTGCCAAGAGAGGGTGCGGCCTCGGCCCGGGACTCAGCATCTCTTGCTTTATTGGGATCTTGGTCTGCTGCTTCAAGTCCATCAATATTTGCGTGATCTTATCGAGACGCTCGTCAATACGATCAATCTTGGCCCTACTATTGGTCTCTGGTGGTCAGAAAAATAGAGCAACTTGGGGACTTGCTGAAGTTGGCAACTCACTATTCTGGCGATATGAGCACTCTCTGTGCTTGGGTCCTGTGCTTCAGTTGGAGCTTTCGTTCGCACGACACCTTGGAAACCTTGCAGCTAGTACAGGGCGAGCCCTTATCGCACCGAATCTAACAGGGATGGTCAGAATCATGTTTACTTTGTAACATGAGACGGAGCCGCCGAAATATCGTCGCATTTCGGCCTGCCAGAATGACTGTGCAGCCTAGCGACTAACCCCGGCATGGACAACAACTAACCTTTCGAGAACGGCACCAGTCGCACTACCAATGCATTGAAATTAGCCTCAACGTCAACTCAACAACTCGATCGATCGATGATTCATTATCGTAGTTTCTTATTGGTCCAACTCACCGATCGAAGCGCCGCCGGCCGGGGCTCGACCTCCGCCCGCTCCACCTTGACTTGGTCCATGTCCAGTGGGTGTTTGCTTGACAATTGATCCGACCAACCGCCCGACGGACAACGCGGAGCGGAGATGGAATAAAAGGTTAGCCCGAAGGCGATGGGACGTCGTCAGCCTTAGGAGGAAGATCAGTTTTTGAGTTGATTGAAATTGCTGATTAGTCGGGTTGGACCAGGTAAAAGAACGCCGCTCGCGTGGGCTCACGATCCGTCAGGTGGTGCGTCGGGCGCCCGTCGGACCCCGGATTTCCCGGGCGCGGGGTGGGAGAACATGCGCTTCTTATACATCGAATTCACAGTGACGATATAAACTGCTGTGTGGGAGGCGGCCAACAGGATACGGTCTGGAACTCTTGCCCTTATCCGCGATGTTGGTTGGCTTTTCTCCCGGCGGGTGCCCTTTCAGCGGTCCGCGGATACAGCGCCGGTGGCATGCCGTCTACCCACTTCCCGAGGGAGCGGATTGGGTAATTAATTGCCGAATGTCTATATTGACTTTGGAGGTGAGATGAACATTGCAGTGAGATGTAGAGTCTGGCAGTTTGTTTGAAAACATGCTACTGGTCGTTTGCGTAGATCTTGCGTCGGGGATACACCCGATGACTAACTTTCCTCACTGGTAGAAATCCAGCCGTCTTCATTATCATCGTCGATTCATCTCGGCGGCGGGGTGCAAGGGCGGCGCGGACGGGGCCCGAAGAACCCGGCGGCCGAGGGTCGGGGACTCCGCGGGTTTGCGGGTTGGGTGACTTGCAGGTCGGTCTGCCGCGGGCCCGAGGACATGGTACGTCACCGGCGAAACGTGGAGAAGCATAAATATCGACTCAACGTGAGTTCAATGGCTTTCGGACGCCGAGTGGGATAGAGAAGGGCCTACAATTGCGCCGCAATACTCCACTTAGCGTTGGACAATCGCGATCAATCAGCAATCTCTATCCCTGTGAAGGAGCCTGCGGATAATGGGCCTCCGATTCTCGAGGCCAAAGTCAGTGACATACCTCCGAAGTGCACTTGTCATGACTCTTGCTTTTCCCTTTCTAAGACCAGTTTTTGATGGTGATGCAGAGGATTCTGGTACACATATCAAAATGCACTAAACGCAGAAGACTAACGAGGGCTTTGTGGAGATTTCCATAGCATGTTAGCAGCCTTTCCGTACGCTGTGCCACCTACAGGTGTTGAGCTGAGCTTCAGAATTCGACCTATTAGCACCAGCTGTTTCTCGGTTACATGTGGCTCACACAACGGGTATCGCCGTGCAGGTGCAGGGCTTACTTCTGAATTTCTGACCTATCAGATGATGGTTGTATTGAACACGTCGACATGAGGTGGCTCGACAAGTTCCACTGCAGCCTGATCGCTCCTCCCGCACATATCCCATCCAATGCCAAGACATCACCTGTTGAAGCATCGTCAGCCTCAAGCTTGCTCGTCGCGTATCGTCTGGCTGAGGACATCTCAGATTTTGTCATCCCCCCTTGGCACGTCTCGCAAGGTCAATAACTTCGTTTGCAACCGCGCCCCTTCCTGTCGACGTCGGTGTCTTCGTGAAGCCGTGGGAGCTTCGCCGTCTGTGCCATGCGACTCATCAACGTTGAAACAGGCAGGCTGGAAGAATTCCATAGCGATACGCCAAGCTATGCTATTTTGTCTCATACGTGGGGAAAAGACCACGAGGAGATATCGTTCCGGGATATGCAGCAAGAGGGAGCATCTCAGAGACGTTTTGGAAATAAGCTAGATGGGTTCTGCAGACAGGCAAGGTCTGACGGTCACAGCTACGTCTGGATTGACACCTGCTGTATTGACAAAAGCAACGCTGTTGAGCTAGGCGAAGCCATCAACTCTATGTTCCGATGGTACAAGGAATCGTCTATTTGTTACGTTTACCTTGCGGACGTTTCAGGTCATAACGGTGAAGTAGACCTGGATCAATTCCACAGGAGCCGTTGGTTTACACGAGGGTGGACCCTGCAGGAGCTCTTAGCTCCTAGAAGCCTTAGATTCTACGACTGCGATTGGTGTTCGTTAGGAGAGAAGTACGAACTGGCTGGTGCTATCGGAAGCATTACAGGTATCCCACACGGGATTCTCCTTGGTTTCGATGATGTGAGCAATGCTAGCGTCGCACAGCGAATGTCTTGGGCAGCCAAAAGAGTCACAAAGAGAAAGGAAGACTTGGCATATTGTCTCCTGGGGATCTTTGATGTTATGATGCCAATGATATATGGGGAAGAGGACCATGCATTCATTCGACTCCAGGAAGAAATCATCAAGAAAACTGCGGATGATTCAATTCTCGCGTGGGGTATTAGCCCTGGCTCCAACGACGGCGTTGAACCCGAAAATACCGACATCCATCTTTTTGGGAACGCTCTAGCTATTAGCCCTGCCGCTTTCATGCACAGTGGCAACATAGTGGCGGTGGGGAATGGGGACTCTACCATAGAGGGACTAGAGACCGCGAGAGGTTGCTTGCCGTTGCGTCTCCGTCTCAGCAACACCGAGACTGGACATGCTGTCGGGTTTCTCAACTGTCAATCCATGAACCACAATGGCGCAGTGGTGGGAATTCCTCTGTTTTGCATTACGCCTGGCGCAGTGCCACGGGAATACATACGACCGGCGGGGACAAAAGCAGTCCTGCGTGTACCTCCGACAGAGGCAGATTCGGCACCCAGACCTATTCGACTTCGCGCTTTGCTGCCAAGCAACAAAGCGGCACTGAGTTACTGCAAATACGGCTTCCACATAAACCAATGGTCTGAGCTCCTTGAAGTTGGCTTGAGTATCGTCGATACCTATTCCGATGGACAATGGAACGAAGACCGAGCGGTCGTTAGCACCGTCGTGGATATGCGGCACAATGCTGCTCGGCGGTTTTGGTGGAAGGTTCGCCAAGACACGGGAGTATTTAAAGACTTTGTAATTGCTCTCGAACTTGGCGTCAAGCAGATGGAAGTGCACGCAAGTTGCCATCTGATGGTTGCGTCTAGAGACACGGCTCTGGACATAATTGCTCGAACAACAACCGATTCAGATGGCTTTCTGGGCAGCAAGGTTGCAAGCAACAACTCCTTGACGTTGGAAATCAAGCTCTCCCAGGACTTGCCCGGTTCCAAACTCTACATGGTTACATCGGGAGCATCGGCCAAACCACCACAACCGATGGACATCGTGGTGGACGCAGATCAGGAGCTGAAGATACTTGCACACACAAACTCGCTTTTGACACTATTTGCAAAGAGTTGGCCGATCAGCTTGAAGTTATCGGAGTTCAAGAAACCACTGGAGGGCAAAGAGCGAGCTCAAGATGCACTCTTCCTCGATCTCCTAGGAGAAAAAGAGGCAATCCAGTCCCAAATTTCCCTGGAATCTCAATCGGTCCAAGAGTTAATGGCGCACTCTGAGAGCAGACAGAGACAATGGCATCGCTCGATGTTGATCAGTCTTTGTAGAGATTTTCAGCCAAGCGACATTCCTTCGACTGACAATATTTCTAAGATCGTACGAAGAGCGTTCAGACTTGCAGTTACTGGGGGACACAGTGCTGCCATGGAATACCTCTGGGCATATCCCGAAGTTGACAACACTATCGAAGATTCCAAGGGGCGAGGTGCTCTATCCCTTGCAGTTGCTGCAGACAACATTCCAGTGATTGAATTCCTCATATCTAAGGGATTTTCTGTGAATCGCTCGGACAGTTGTGGACAGTCTCCACTGGCAACAGCGGCCCAGCTAGGGCACCATGCGGCTCTTCTAATGTTATTGAAGAAAGAGACATCCATCAGTTTTCAAACCAGAGACGGCCAGAATCTTCTGGATGTGGCAGTGAAGTCAAATCACCATGAAGTTGTCCTCGCATTGTTGGAAAAGGGAGCAAATGTGAGAGGCAGGTTTCAAAATCAGTCTAAATCGCGCCTCACAACTCAGAATGAGCCTCCACTAGCTGTGGCTGCTCGTATGGGCTTTGTTGGTATTGTTGAATGCTTACTCGATCATGGAGCCAATGTCAACGAGAAAGGCTTGCCTTGTCTCCCAAACAAAGTCGGTTTTCGAGCCGACTGCCCAGTGTTGGCCATTGCTGCCTACATGGGTCACTACGACATTGTGGACCGGTTATTAAGCCGAGGGGCTGACATCAATGCAGCCGATGGAAGTCGCCGAACGCCGCTACTGTTGGCTTCGAGGAATGGCCACGACCAGATTGTCCAACTGCTCCTCAGGCAAGGCGCTGAGACTGAGTTGTCGGACGTAATACATGGCAGGACGCCGATAGCGTGTGCTACCACGTACAGCCATCATAGGGCAGTCAGTTTGCTTCTAGAGAAAGGCGCAAATATTGAAGCCAAGGACTTCGAAAATCGAACAGCAATATCTCACGCCATTCACGCAAGGTCAGATGAGATCCTAGAGTTGCTTCTCAGCTGGGGTGCCGACACCAATGTGGCGCACAGCGGAGAAACCCCCCTGTTTTACGCAATACGACAGACAAATGTGGAGGCAGTTGATCTTCTCCTCAGACATGGAGCCAGGATCTCGACAAAAAATAAATTTGGCAAATTTCCATTGCAATATGCCCGAGACCAAAATGAAAATGGCATGGAACAGGATCAAATGCTTAGGATGAAGCACGAGGAAATCATTCGGAGACTCGAGACTGCCACCATCGAACACAACCAACACGTTGGGATGGAAACTGAGCCAACACTCAAATCTAGAGCGCGGAAATCACTGGTACAGTTGATGGGAAGATGAAAAAAAAAAAGCTTCTGAGGTATGTTCAAAGGCCTCTCGCAGTATTGGTCCAGTCACAAAATAGTCAAGTCAAAGGTGTCCCCTGAGCGGACTTGGAGTACGTCAAAATTGCGCGAAGGCAATGACCTATCCCAAAGGAAGAAGTTGATTGGATGTTAGGCGTTGGAGAAATTAGTCTGCGCAAATATTTCTAATCAATTTCCTCATCGCATCCAGACTGTGAGTCCTGTGACGGTACCACCACGCGATTCGAGGTTCCAGGCCCAGTGTCCCTAGACATACTTCAAAGACCGATGTCTCAGACAAGGCATGGACCTGATTCTGAACATCTGAAGATCTCCTCTTGATCACCCAATTCAGGTCTCGAAGCTTGGGCCATCTACCCCACAAACCACGCGATCCACTGCATGCTGTGCCACATTGGCGCATCGGTAACAAAGCTCTATTGTTGGTAGCAACATATGGGATCCAATGACGGATATCAAGACTTACAATACGTGCTTGATGTCTCGTTGCGTACTACCGGACATGACTCAAGCTACCCAACACTAAGTCTGGCACTACCGTTGCTAAGGCCGTATTTCAAAGCCACTATCTCTAACTGGTATCGCCTGTCCATGAGTGGGGTTCTACACTAATAACAAAGAGCTACTATGATGCGGGGGCCTCCGCTGTCACGGCATAAAGACCTGCCGGCAGTCAAAAACCCCGTTGCTGTGGAATTTTGGAATTTTGTTCCCACATGCCCACATGAAGATCTTCGCTCGGACGAGCCAGACAGAACCCAGGGAATGAGGCATGTCACACGCAGCATCCCAATCATCGCCAGCGACCATCGTGTAGAGCCCACCCAAAGATGTCTCCCTCCCTGGGCGGCGTCGTGAACCCGTACCTGGCAGCCGGGGCCGCGATCGTCTTCGCCCTCATCCTCACCGCCCTGAAGCCAAGGAAACAGCAACAACTCCCACCGGGAACGGCCCTCCCGCCGGGCCCGAAGCCGAAGCCCCTCATCGGTAATCTTCTGTCCATCCCCCCGGTACACTCGTGGCTCGCCTTCCACGAACTCATCAAGGAGCACGGCCCCATCGTCCGACTCTCCATCCCGGGCCAGGAGCACGTCCTCCTCGGCACCGAGACCGCCGCCAACGACCTCCTCCGCCAGCGCGGCAACATCTACAGCGACCGCCACTATGCGCCGGCGTCATCGCACCTCCTCACGGACGATCACATGCTGCTGCTGCTCCCGTACGACGAGCAATGGCGCAAGTACCGCCGCTTCCTGCACCAGGTGACAATGTCCCCCGTCGCCCCACTCTACGAGACGGAGCAGAAGATCGAGGGCATCCGCCTTCTACGCGACTTGATCCGTGATCCCAGCGACTACGAGGCGCTCTTCGAGCGCTTCAGCGTCGGGCTGGGCCTGCGCATCATCTATGGCCTGCGGCTGGAGAGCGGACATGACCGGGACGCCAGGATGATTCTCGACATCGTCCACGAGCTCGAGCGCGTCGGGTCGCCCGGGGCATACCTGGTTGACCTGTTCCCGTCGCTCATGTACGTGCCCGAGTGGCTTGCCCCCTGGAAGAAGTACCTCCGCGCACGCCGCCGGCGCGATGAGGATTTCTTCCACGAGCTCATCGACCGCAGCAAGTCGCCATCGTGGGCGTGCAACTGGTTAGAAACGAAAGAGCAGTGGGGCCTCACGCGGCGCGAGGCGAACTGGATGCTCGGTTCCGTGTTCCAGGCCGCGGCCACAACCTCAGGGTCGGCGCTCGCGTCATTTGTGTTATGTATGGTGCGGAACCCGGGATGGTTTGAGAAGCTCCAGAAGGAGGTTGACTCAGTTGTCGGGCCCGACAGGTTACCCACCTTCACCGATATCGCGGCGCTGCCTCTCGTGAGAGCGTGCGTCAAGGAGACGATTCGCGTCTACCCCATCACTGCCGGAGGGTTCCCTCATCGTTTGACGGAAGACGACACTTACAACGGCTATTTCCTTAAGAAGGGAACTGTGGTACATGCTGTGCAGTGGGCTATCCAGCGAGATCCGGAACAGTACCCCGACCCTGAAGTCTTCAACCCCGACCGTTGGCTGGACCCATCGTTCCCGACGTACAAGGAGCCTCTGACGCAGTACCCCAACCTGCAGAACTACTCAGCCTTCGGCCATGGCCGAAGAATCTGCCAGGGTATCAACATTGCCGAGAGGAGTCTCAACCTTAAGATAGCGATGCTGGCTTGGGGTTGCAACGTCACCAGAGCTAAGAATTCTGCCGGAGAGGGGATTATCCCCCCTGTTTACAACTTTGTCGAGGGTTTCAACGTTCAGCCGAAGCACTTTGATTTTGATCTCAAGCCGAGAAGCCCTGAAAGAACGGAGCTAATAGAGAAAGCGTATGAGCAGTCACTGAAGGACGACCCCCTTCTACAATAACATAATACGGAGTGCAGTAATAATAAGCGTAATGATTATTCAATCAATTCAAACATCTCAGCCATCTCTATTTTGAAATCTTTGAAATCATGTACAACGCCCCGAAATATTCCAGCAAGGTCATGATACCCGATTTCACCGCCGATGGCAAACCAGAAGAGCCGCACTCCATTTTCCGTAACGACCATGGTCGTACAAATCTCCATGAAATAACAGGCTGAATGACAAACAGAAAAAAACGCCAGAATGAATCGTAACAGTCTCAAGTTCCCAAGCCCAGCATCGGCGTGGTGATAGTCGTCCCCGGCTCATTAAGTCTCCTCTTTACCTCCATCCCCAAGCTCTGAATCGCCCTGATCAAAGGCACGAAGTCCTTCTCCCCTATCGACGCAACCGTCATCACATCACACACCTGCTCAAGTAACGCGACATCGTCCATGTGCGCGCGAACATCTGCCGAATGCAACACGCTGTTCATTAGACAAGCGTACGCGACGTACAGGCGATACATGCCAAACAGAACACACATAGTCTCAGGGAACGGGTTCTTGACTAGCACCATGTGGACGATGCTCAGCAGACGGCGCGACGCGTCGACGGCGAGCGGCGAGTCGGGGACGTCGGCGTCGGACATGACGGGGCGCGGCGAGTTGGAGCGCAGCACGGAGAGCTTGCGCAGCATGAAGATGACGTACGTGTAGCCCGACATGGCGACGTCGCTCATCATCCAGGCCTCCGACTTGTTCTCGCTGGACATGGTCTTGTTCACCCACTCCTCGACGCCCCATTCTGCGAAGAGCTGGCCGATCTCGCGGCAGAGGTCCTCGGTCTTGGGCCGCATCTCCTCCTCGGTGCAGTTGCTGTTCTCGAGCTCCTGGAAAAACCGCGAGAGTATGAAGGTCTGGCGGGAGCCGACGAGGAAGGCTATGGTTGGCACGGCGTTGATGTCGGGTTGTGCGTCTGCTGACAGCCAGGGCAGGTTGACCTTCCAGGAGTTGATGCTGGAGGTAATTGAGGGTGGTTTGTTGAATAGTAGGCGGAAGAAAAAGTCGATCTGGATCATTTCCCAGAAACCCTTCCGGTCGGCATCGAGTTTGGCCTGGTCTAGAAGAACGCTGGTGCCTTCTGTGTGGGCGTCGAGGTTGTGAATGTTCAGCTTCTGGGCGTAGTCGGTGGCGTAGGTGTACATCCGCCAGCTTAGCTCTTCGTCGAAGCATTCGGCGGCTGTGCGACACTACAAATCACGATAGGTTAACGAAACCGTTTCATTAGTAAATGCTTTTGGTGCAAAACTTACCATGAAGATTGCAGCTATGAAGTCTGTCGTTGTCCCTGTTGCTTCCCGTTGCCAGAGAGGCAGGGAACGAAGACAACACAGATACAGCATGCGCACATACTGCAAGCCGCTGCCGGCATTGCCCTCAAAGGTTGCCCCAAGAGCGCAACCGTGGTAGAGAATACCGTAGTAAACCACGAGAATAGCCGGGTCTAGGTGAACATGAGGAAGATCAAGCAAGTCGGGGATCAGCTTGATGAGTTTGAGATTTATCAAACTGACAAACATCTCTGTTTGCATGTGTGTGAAGTAATCTGGTAACAGAGTGAGTAACAGTTAATGAAATGACAAGGGCTAAGTTCCGACATACTCTCAATCCATTGTTTGCACAATTCTGGTGGAATAGTGACATTCTCAGTGATGGTCGCGGTAGCGATAGTCTGTAACCTCAGTCGTTGAACCTGATCAACGGCATCTTTCAAGATGGCCGCCGTGTCAATCTCAGGAGTCGCGCTCGGGGTGGCAAAAGACGTCCAGGGGGACGCCACCACCGCCGCGCTCGAGGGAGCCGGAGAGGAGACGTTGGACGGCGCGCTGTTGGAAGTTGACGTGTGCCGCAGCGAGGCGGGAGGATCAGACGCGGGAGCAGGGGGTGCGGCATCTAGAGAGCCAACGGCTTGGCCCCCGTTCGGCAGCGTGATGCAGTGCTCCTCGACGCGCTGTAACCGTTCCAGGATGGTTGAGAGCGCGTCATCCGTCGTGCTGGGGGGTCGCCAAGAAACGGAGTTTGAGCCAACGATCTCTCGTAAATCTGGCCATCGGAGAGACGGCACAGAGGAAAGTGGAGGGGCGGAGACTTACGAGAGACGGTCCGTCAAGGTCTTGGTCACTTTCCTCTTGACCCGTTGAGGATAGACGCAGTCGATGTCGTGTGTTTTACATCTATCGCATGTCGGCATCACCCGACTACACCGGACCTGATGATGTCGAAGATAGCCCGTCAGTTGATGATGCTCGTGAACAGCGCTGTCGCCGGGAGGAATGCAGAACTGACCTTTCTGTGTTTGCATCTTTTGCACTACACACAGCGAGATGAGACACAACTGTCAGCCATGAGAGCCACCAAAGCAGATACCCATTGCCCCTGAGAAGAACCAGAGAGCGGACAATGGGCCATGGGAATCTCCGCTACGCACCGAGAGCGGGTTCAAATGTGCTGACTGATCCGCCATGGCTGGCTAGGCTCGCGAGACGTTCGGAGGGCGGAGAAATGGGTTGTGAGGGGCGCGC